AACAGCTTTTCCCTATGAGAAAAGCCAAAGCCTATACTGTCAATGCCCACTGACACTGGGAGTGTATCCTACAACAAGAGCATTGATGGACAGGACAGAGGGGACTTTTAGAAAACAGAAAACAATAGAGACTATAATAAAAGGATAGACAAACAGATGAGGCAAAAAGGTTGCATTGACAAAAAAAGATCCAAAATCAAGTAATGCCTGTCAAAAATAGAATTCAGGCTCCATTTGGACTTCTTAAATGCCCCATATTTGGCAAAAAGCCTCCTTCTTCTCTAAATCCTCCTCAGCAAAAAGATTGCATTGACAGGGAATTGAACCCTGGCCGAGTCGAATCGGTGCATCTACTGGCAACGACCCATTCTACCACTGAACTATCAATGCTCTTGTTGTAGGATATGCTCTCAAATTTTATCATATTTTACAAATTTTTACAGGGGCCCGAACCCACTGCCCCCCCAGAGGCTTGTTTGCTTGCACTACAGTGTGGAGTGTTGAGGAGCAGACATTCTTGGTATGTCGAAATTGAGTGTGATGTCAGGGATTTGACGATTTGACGACAGGTGGCTGCGCGAACGCGTTCGTGGCTAGCTTAGACGACATGAGGAGGAATAAGAGGAAAAAGAGAGTGGGTTGTGATTTTCTAGCTAATGAACGACTAGCAAGATCATACACGATTTTATACAAAGGCGGAGGGTTTCAAGATAAGCGAAATAAGACAGTTATGAAATTAGGGGTGGTGAGCAGGGACACGACAAGACCGAGGGCGGCGCGATCGGGTTCATGACATGTGAGGAATGTGTCCTCTCCGCACAGCGTCCCAAAGGTGTGTGGAAATCGTAGATAATACTGATGTACAACCTAAGAAATACATGCGCGATATTTATACTAATGACTATACGAGTGAACTGCAAGAAAATCAAGATCGCGAGCCCCGACGGCGCCGTCGATTTCTCGATTGGGAAACAAGACCAAGAACGATGTTATTGTGACCAAGCCTAAACGTAGTAGCAATTCGGCAGGATTCAAAATTTTATCGCCAGCCAGCGCCGTTTGACTTGACTCAGTTGGAGGGCCTGTGCTGCGTGGTAGAAGGTTTAACTGTTGGCACCACCTTTTTTTGACTTTGGCGAAATGCTATGAAACGAGAAAATATGTAGTCAAGGTTCTCTTGCCAAGAGCGAGAAATCATGGCATCGTTATAGATGTGGAATTGGATCCTGCGTTGTTCGTGATAAATTTCTTTCTGTTGGGCAGTTAGACCTGCTCACGTGACCACAATAAAGTGATAAATTTGATCAGGAGTCAAGGTAGGGTTCTCTTTGACAACGTTCTCCTTGACGCTGAGGAGAAAGATGAGCCACGGGCGGGAGGGCACTTGATGCGTACCTTTTGGAGTTCAGAGATGTTTCCCTGTTCCATCTTTCTTCTTTGATCACTGGGGAGGGTTTTCACAGATGGCTAGTAGCTGGTTATTATGGGCGTTTGCTGCGAGTGGGGAGGCCAGGTTAGCTGATTGCACAGTATGAAACATTTGTGAATTGTTATGAGTCATGAACACTTGGTAGGTGTTTAGTTGGGGGAGTGTTAAGTGTGCATTGCAGGGTCAAGCGATGGTGGCGACGGGTTTGATGAAAGCACTCCTGGATTTCTATGATTAAGAAGCTTCTGCCCAATTTTTTGGTGTATAATTGTAGGTTGTAGATGCGAAACGCGTCAAGGCAAGACGAATCGGGAGCCAAGTACCAATCCCAAAATTTAAAAAGAGCTTGAATGCCAAGGCAAGGTCGATCCTGTGCGATGCTTTTAGGTGCTACTCGTATTCAAAAAGTGTTCCAAATACACGTAAATTCCATAGATTAGAACCTATCATTGCCGAGGAGGAGCTCCCGCCCCTCTACCGGTTCCCGCTCCTCCAGCTGCACCTCCAAGGCTCTCCGCCCTACGAAGCACTCAGTAGCTTTCTTAACTGTTTGGAGAATATGACATACATTTGCCGCATCGTGGGGTCATTCATCAATTCAGCCATGGACGGGAGGCCACCTCCAGATTGCACGCGGTTCATCTGCAACGGGTGTCATTCAGATCTAAATCAACAGTAAAGCACATACCATGTCACTCAAGGCTGGATTTCTCATAAGATTCTCGAGGCCTCCGTTCGCCATCATCGACTGGGCCATATTCCTGATTGCTGGATTCTGCATCATACCGGCAATGTCCAGGCCACCTGGACCACCAGCACCACCTCCAAGGGAGCGAAGGACGTCGTCAAATCCACCACCTGCACCAGCATTTCCGCCTCCGCCTCGAGCCGCTGGCGGTGGATCCGGGAGTGCATCCTCCGTAGCTTCAGCGGCGCGTGCAAGAGCATTCTCTCGCCCATTTCGCAGATTAGCGTTAGTAGGCTCCAATTCTAACCCTTTGTTAAACGCCGTCGCTGCCGCATCGTAGGACCCTAAGGAATATTGCGCATGACTGCACGAGACCGGTTAGAAAATCCAAACTATGAGGAAGAGATCACTTGCCCAAGTCTATGGTATGCCTTTACAAACTTTGGGTCGACCTGGATGGCCTTTTCGGCATCTGCCACAGCTGAATTGTGATCATTCGCAGACGAGTGAGCGGCCGCCCGATTGGAATAGTAAACTGGATTGGTTGGGTCCAATGCTATTGCCTGCGTGTATGCCGCAATCGCAGAGGCGTAGTCCTTTGCACTCATCTTTGAGTTGCCCGTAAGTTTGTGCTTTTCCGCAGCGGCCTTGTCTTGGTCAGAGACGGCTGCTGGTGCTGCCGCTTTGGGAGCCTGTTGAGTCGTGTTCTGCATCTTATCCTTTGTGTTCATGTATACGTCAAATATTGACGGTAGCGTGGCGGGCTTGACACTCAGTCGTTTCCGAGCAGCTTCGTCTGAGGGATCAACGCCAAATGCTTCACCTATACATTGAACTATCAAGAGTTACGCTCCTCGTCAGCATAGGTTCGTTGCCTCTATTGTGATGAACTCGTACCGGCCACCTCCACGCCATCTTTGTCATCTGCGCTGACGGTGCCATCGGCGATGCTAGCTTCTAGAAATTCCAGAATGGAAACGACGAGACGCTGTTTTCTTTCTGCCATTGTGCCTATTGCGATCGTAATCAAAGGGAGATGCCACCTGAGTCCTAAACAAAAGTATCCTCACTTGCAATGAAATTTTAAAATAATTATTCAAATTAATAATTCATACTATATATCGAAAGTGCCGAGTAGGGGCTGGGTGCGAGTGGCACTGCGGTCGAAACCATCTTAGACAACTACCATGCAGCGGTCCAGACCATTACAACTCGTCCGCTCGTTGAGAGCAGCATCTCTGCCAAAATCTCGTCAATATGCCTCAGTACCAGCTCCAGAACCCGGATATCCCACCGGTGAAGAGTTTTTGGCGAAGAAGGTGGCCATCAAGCACCATGCTGAACGTATGAGACTCCCAATTTTTAAACGAGTGCGTTATGCTGAATTTTTTAATGACAGAAACCACGGCCTTGTGGAGGAATATCAGGTCGGAGAGCACACCAACGTCCGCTTGTCGTCACTGACCAACTTGCAGCATTTTTGCGTGTGTTCCCATCATCATTGGAGGAACATACTGGGTGATTGAGACCGAAAAGAAACATGCGGAACATAAGGAGGCTCACCCGCATGAATATATTGGTAGGTAGAGTCGGCTTCGTGCTTTCACCACAGCCTAATGGATTTATAGAATACCCTTACCTAAACAGGAGAACTCGCCAGTTCCCATGGGGCCCTAACAGCCTTTTCTTCAATCCTCATGTGAGTCGTCTGGTTTTTCAACTCGACCTGGCACTGACGAAGGATTTTAGGCACAGAAGGATATGTCCGAGGCTTGATTACTGGTTGCATTATGTGAATTGGTTCCCGCCATCGTATCTAGTCCCATAACCTGATATGGATTCGAACATTCCTTCCTCTCCTTCCAACCACATTTCTTGAGAACTGAGACCCTAGACCTTTGAAAGACACTCTCATTAATTCCTACCATTAATTCCTACGAAAGAAAATCAGTGGAAGAAACGTGCCAGCCTTCAGACGCCGATCGACATGAATGTTCGCCAAAGAAAGTGCCATATCGAGATATCCGCGATATGCGGAGCTTCTTACGCCCAGGGAAGCTGGTCCTGCCAGTCTTATATTTAGCGCACGGACTCCTGGGCCGTTAGGCTGGCAAGGGTGTCACATTGAGATGCCACTCGCGACAGTGTAAATCCACCCAAAAGAGGGGTAAAACCGCACTTTTAATGCGATTTCACGGACTCCACTGCCTTCATCTCCGGATTTTCATTCAAAATTGACGCGCAGGCGGCGAAGCTTTGAGACCTTGTCCCAACTGGTCGATCTGCGGTACGGTGCTTCGGCGAGCACACAACGGTATGTAAGGATTCGCAAATACATTTCTCTACAATGTGGAGGTTCGCGTCCAGTCGCAGGGCGAGTCCTTGCACAGAAGACACGATACAAAAAGTACGGTTTTGCTTCTATCTGCGAAGGATCATGTAGGACCGTTTCCTATTAAGGATGCAGTATGTCGCATGATTACGGTACGGTGATCTACCGCGATCCTCAATGTCCCGAAACCGGTTGGCCAAAACCCATTGCCGCCTTCAAACACGTACACTTTCACCCGCTTCACTCACGCGATCACACATATGTGGCCTCGCCAGGATGCGCAGCTTACATCAGGTGGGCGAGGTGACTAGTTCCGTCCCCAATCTTGTGATGAGTGCCATAATCGGGGTATAGATACAGGCCAGTCATTTGTGGACGCAGACGGGATGTGGCAGAAGAACCGAGAAATTCGCGGCCTATTGTGGCGGGAAAATTCATGTGGCGTATTTTGCCCTAAAGCCGTTCAAGCGTTCATTTGGTCGTCTTGTCGTTTACGCGGTTCACCGTCCCGCCAATTTTGGCTCTGGAGGGTCATCAAAATCGCCAGAGCTAGGCTGGCGGGTGCCCAACCTTTGAGGCGGGACTTTTAAACAAGGGTGGCTGGAAGAAGGAGCAAATGCGAGAGGGTGTCCAAAGGCAAAGGGCGCATCAAGTCAATGGGTGATAGGCTCTATTGACATATGGGTTTCCTCTCTCGGACTAGAATTGTTCATTGCCTTTGTGGCATATGAATGGGGGGCACCCTCAGCCGCCGCTTAATCCCTGGGAAATCATAAAGGTCGGGTGGTATCTCATGCGTAGAGTTGATCCTAAACCCCCCACCCCTCTCTCTTTCTCCCCGCGCCCTCACGCTCACAAAGTCCTGCATAAACACTGATGGAATATCCTACATTTGGAGGAGAGGATGCAAAGCTTCAGCTATGCGTTCAGTCGCTAGACAG